TAGTTATAGATTAAATGACTTTAAAAATATTTACTTTTGTTTATTCTTTATGATACTACAAATGTGACTGTGGCTCATTGTATTTGTCTGAAAACTGGCAGCTCTGTTGTTCCACCAAACAAAAAAAGTGTATATATATGTTTGAAGGCTAATTGATTAGCCTGTATTTGTGGGAGGAGTCCGTTTCCCTCCTCACAACATAAAACGTGCAGGTAGACTCACCTGGGCACGGCTGTCGTCAGCATGACCCGCCCACCCGGTCCCGTCATTCAAAGATTTCACAGAGTATGCCCCCTCATTGGCATACTGTCCATAAGTATGATTAAATGATCTGTTTCCATGCATAAGTATTAACATGCAACTGGAGGAGCCTGCAGTCAGCTAGTAAAAGAAGAGCTATGTAGATCTGTCACAGTCAGCATGCATGTATCTGCCCAGCCTTGCTATGTGAGTGTATTTGCTTGTATATTTATACAGCAGTGGATGTGACATTCCATTCACCAAACATTTACTGCAGGTGTATCTTCCTGGTGCATGTGTTTTAAATCAAGTTTGATAAATGTAAAGCTGGCCATACACTTTACAATCATCGCACGACTTTCATTGTGCGATGGTTGTAAAATAATTAAAAGCTTGTACGATCTGCCCATCTTGGATGAGGCAGATCATCAATTATTCCAATGCCGCACGGGCAGTGTGCGCTTGCGCACACCGGCCCGTGTGGCATTTGTCTCCCGAGAACGCCACTGACCCGCCGACAAGCGTACGATTCTCGCCGGGTTTTCAAGCCTGCTCGGGAGACAAAAGACGTGCGACCGTACAGTAGAAATGGTCGCACGCCTTCCATACACCTGCCGATTATCGTACGATAGCAGGATCACCCGCAATTATCGTCCGATCATCAGCAGCTGTATGGGCACCGTTACACTCACTGCTTTATAAATATGCAACCGACTGTTACATTCACTTCTTTATAACTATACCCCTAATTGGCCATCACTGATTTTAATGTCTTTGATTGATTCATTTATTTTAATTGATGGTGTGTAAATGGTTGCTCTTCTGTGAGAATATACTCACACACCAGCTCTATGAAAAGGCAGCTAAGCTGAAATCTGAGGAAGGGGTAGCAGGTGCTTGCATCAATCGACAAAAAAAAAGGTTTTAATGTTTTATACTATTATTAAATGTGATTTAAATAAAGGTCATTGCAATTTCTTGCTCAATAATTACACTAAAAATTGTTACTACCATGCCACCCCTAAGCAAAGTGGCATCTTGCATAGAACTATATGCAGTATATATAAATATGCAGTATTTGTCTCTCTCTCTCTCTCTCTCTCTCTCTCTCTCTATCTATCTACACTATATTGCCAAAAGTATTGGGATGCCTGCCTTTACACACACATGAACTTTAATGGCATCCCAGTCTTAGTCCGTAGGGTTCAATAATCTCTCTCTCTCTCTCTCTCTCTCTCTCTCTGTGTATATATATATAAAACTTTTTTTTTGTTTTGGGAGAGAGGGGTTGGAGTGCACTTGAAGGTGTATTCATTGAATTATGTGTGAGCTTTTCAGATAAAATATATTTTAAGGTGTACTGACCCTGTTTGCAAGTTCTACTAACTTTACTGCACATCTTTACTATTAGCACCAACATGTGAATCATATTTCGCACAGTATTAATCAAAAGCAGGGAAGCCAATAGTAGATATTTAATTAACATTAGTTTAAATATGAACTTCTGTGCATTTCAAAAAATGTTTACATTAATATAAAGATGCATTATTTCAGTCACAAGTATAACACTACAACACCACGTACACATTTCCCATGTTGCATATTTTTCTGCTTCACAAAACACTGTTGTGTCTTCAGCCACACAGGGGTCTCCCTTTAAACTGTTACATCTCAGACATCAAGTAATTAATTGACTAAACTGAGCTCATCCTGTCACGGAATGTTCCCTTGTCAACAGTGATACCTATTTACTTCTACTGTATATCCATTTCCTGTACATGTTCAAAGGATTATCTCTGACATGTACCTTACTAAGAGTGACCAGTTAACTAACAAACAAGAGCTGAATAATTCATTTTTGAGATAATTTGCAGATCAAAAAAAAAAGTTAAGATAGGTGCATATATTTGTAGGAAAATCAAATAGATATTAGGCACGTATATTTTGTAAATTAATCATCTCATTTATCATAGTTTACAATCAAATCTAGAAAATATAAAATATTTCCAATAAAATAAAATAACATTGGAGGTAAAATAACAATATGAAATGGTACCTACAAACAAGGAAATATGCTGAACATCTTTGTACATAATTTATTTGAATGACCACTATGCTCTCCATTGATTTCAGTCCAGCAAGACATATTGGTGTTGATTTCCTAAAGGCAACTAGGTAATTCACTTCGCAAGGGAATTTGCACTTTGCATAGGAAAATTGGTTTGCAAAGTGCAAATTGATAGCGAACATTCCCACTAATGTGTCACAAGCTAGTGTTGGGAGTGTGGGAACACATATTTGCATGTTATGTAACTAAATTACATTATTTATTTTAATTGAATGTCACCATGGCACATCCTTAAGCCTAAATGTTCTGCAACAATCTAAAATATTGTCTGCTATTTTAATTACAGTGCAACAGTGTAACTATAATTGCTAATAACTCTAGTGTAGCTGGGTAAGCGCATGTATTTCACACTGTGCACATTGTACATATTTATAATATATTAGGCAGAATAATGGACTAGTTAGCTTAGGACCTTAGTAAATCAGCCACATAAACTGCTGTTGCAGTCAGCCAATGGTCTTTGTGTTATAGTGTGGACTTATTTCCATTGAGTTAGAGCAAGTTCTACCTAAACTGACCTCTTTATTTAGGTAATACTGTCATTGAAAGCCTTGATGTGATGCCATTGTATTGAAAAAGACCCCTTAGCTGTTTACCTATAATGCCTGAAATGACTTTTAAGTCATTTGAAAGAAGATAAGAGACAATGACCAAAGGTTTTACACAAATGCTGGAAAGGTAATAAAATAAACATCAAAGGTAGATCTAGAGATATGTCCTATCCCTTGCAGTTTGCAACAAAGGCAGGAAGCACAGGAAACCTACCCCAAGTATTGACTTGTAGTTATAATTTACAAGTCTCAAAGTAGAGCTCACCCTGTACTAAACAGCATGAAAAAGATCTGAGCTACTTGACCCAACAAAAACACCAGTAACAATAACTACAAATTGCAAAAGTTTGGAAGATACTAAAATAACTGAAGTATTGCATGGCTAGGCTCACTGACTGGGAATGCACACTGTAAGTTCAGTATCCCATAGAAATCAGCCAACAATCATCATAACTGATCTGACTATAATAAAGTGAAGTCTAATTGGTTGCTATGAGTTACTGCACTGTGCAGATTCTTAATGTTCAAACAAAAGCTGCATCAGGTGTACAAAAAAAAATACAAAATCTGGAGCAGTTGCCCATGGAAACCAATCAGCTTCTATCTTTTATTTTCAAAGCATGAAGTAACAATAGCCTCAGGAGTTAAACCCTAAATGACTTTTGTTCTCCACGGCCCCTGTGTATGTTGTAAAGTAGTCAACATTTCAAGCTCGCTCTCATGATGGACTACAATCTCATGTTTAGTTTACTAATTTGTATTGAGATTGTAGTCCATCATGGGAGTGAGCTTGTAGCGGTGGCTACTTTTGTTCATCATGGTCCCTGTGTGTGTTGTAAAGTAGCCACTGCATCAAACTCACTCCCATGATGGACAACAATATCAATACAAATTAGTCAACTAAATGTGAGATTGTAGGAGTGAGCTTGGAGCGGTGGCTACTTTACAACACACACATGGACCATGGGGAACAAAAGTAGCCACCCTCCAGAAGGAAGGACAGTGTCAGCACCAATTCAGAGATTATATGAGGATCTACAGCCGAGTGATACACAAATAAGATAGATTTTTATTAATAGTTAAGTTACTTGAATACATTTTTAAGATTTAACTCCTGAGTTCAGTGTCACTTTAACTGAACCAACTGAAGAGAGCAGCTGATTCTGTCTTCTCCAGTTTCAATACCCCCCTCCCTTTCTCCCCCAGTGTATTTCTAGCATTAAAAGCAACAGCAAATAAATATATGTATAGCAATCAAGGGTGTACTATGCAAAGACAAACACAAATCAGCAGCAAAGTGATTGTATTCATTATGGAAAGTTCTGTCCCCAGCATAAGCCTGAGAAATGACTCTATTTACAAATAGTGAAAAGAAAAATGTTGCAATGTTTCATTTATGAAGTTGCATGTAATTGTAAGCTGTTACATCCCTTCTTGATCAGAGGTGTCTCATCCTCATTTTGTTCCTAGAGATGAAACTAAGCAGAGGGCTCCCTGTCTTACCTGGTGCACCTCTGCCACCTACTAGTCAGAGTGTACTCTACACCTGGAGACACCTGCTCTATTGCTGGGAACCAGTGGTGGGGAGGGCTGGGGGGAGAGAGAGGGGAGGGTGCTGGAGTCACAATGACAGCCAGACAAATCTGTTAGGACAATTAAGCTTACTCATAATCCTAATTACAATTAAAGTGCTTTAGCTGATCCCTCCTCCTCCTTGCAGGCTAAGCCTGTGATTTGCCGGAGATAATGTAGGTGAGTGTGATGGACCCTCCCACCTCTCTGTTATAACAGGCGAGGCAGAATGGAAAGGGAGAGCCAGTTAACAATAATAATAACATCATCAAGGAAGCCTCAGCCTGGACTGAAGGGAGCTGACATCTCTTTGACAAGAAGCCCCTTGTGACAAGCCACAGCTGTGGCGCTTGGATCAGGTGCTGGAGATGTGTGCACCTCTTGCTGACTTTTAAACAGCTGTGTGACCGAGGCATCGCAACAGCCTAGGGCAGCGATTCATGACCCAGAGAGGCTGAAAGAGCTGAGCTTGTACACGTCGATCGCCAGGTAGGCTGCGCAAGAAAGCCATGAATCTGGACGGCTTCCCCCGTGCTGCTTATGTGGACAAGGTGTGCACCAGCGACCAGGAGACCAGCATGCCCTCTCCTCTCTCCAGCCGGGGCGATGAGCTGGGCTCAGACGGAGACTTCGTAGCCAACAGCCCTTCTCAAGTCCTGTGTCCAAGAGACTCCGAGATGGACACGGACACCGGGAGCCTGGGGGGCGACGAGGAGGAGGAAGAAGAGGGGGAGGTAAGGCAAGAATCCGAGAGGGATGAAGAGGGTGCAGATGGGACTCTAGGGTGCAGATCCCAAACAGCTGAAGGGAGCAAAGCTAAGACTTACACCCGTCGCCCAAAGCCGCCTTACTCCTACATTGCCTTAATAGCCATGGCCATCAGGGACTCTACCAGCGGTCGCCTCACCCTTGCTGAGATCAATGACTACCTGATGAAGAAGTTTCCTTTCTTCAGAGGCCAGTACACCGGCTGGAGGAACTCCGTCAGGCATAACCTGTCCCTCAATGACTGTTTTGTCAAAGTCCTTAGGGACCCGTCTCGGCCTTGGGGAAAAGACAACTACTGGATGCTAAACCCCAACAGCGAATACACCTTTGCAGATGGGGTGTTCAGGCGCAGAAGGAAGAGACTTAACAGGGTCACCAAGTGCCTTAAAGACCAGGAGCTCCAGGGGCTTCCTGAGCATCATCAGCACCATTCATTGACTCCATCATCAGTGGCAAGCCAAGGATCTGTGGCTTCATCTAACGTGCTGGTCCTGCCACCTTCTTCACCATCCCCCTCCTCTGCCCACCCGTCCTCTAGCACCAACCGATCCAGCAAGGACACCAGCTCGGGAACCAAATTCTACAGTTCATTTGCCATTGACAGCATCCTGAGTAAGCCCTTCCAGAAACGAGAGACTTCAGAGCTGGACAGCAAGTCTACAAGTGGGAGGCTCATGTGGCCGACAGGTGCATTGCTGCATTCCCATGCTTCCGTTCCTTCCTACCCTCTCCTATCCTACTCTCCATCATCTGCACTGCCTCACCCATCCACCTTGTTCCCACTTAGCCACCTAAGTAATGGCTCATCCTTGCACTTACAACTCTACCGGTATTGCATGCCCGAGGCTCTGCTGCTTTTGATGGATCCTAGAAGTGAAGGACAGCAGTTGCTTGCTGAACTCAGAGAAGATCAGCAGCATAGCCGCCGTGCCCCAACACTTCACCCCCATCTCATGGCACCCCCCAGTTCCTCCAAGTCCTTTTCAGAACCCCTGGGGAACAATGAGATCCTGTGCACCATGCGTTCCCCTGGACCTTACCTTCCCTACCGGCCAGAGACATTGCTAGCCTGACAGTGATGAGGGGAGTGGGCTAGGGAAGGTATGTTCAGCTACAGTATCCCCATCACAGCTGTGGGAACTTGAAGTAGCTTCAACCTGTGGAGGCATAATTTATTTCCAAAGAGTCAACCACATGGTTCCTCATGAAGTCACTTATTTGGACTACATTTGGGTAATGCAACTGATACATTTCTGTTTTTTAGACTCAGTATAAGATAAAAAAAACAACAATTTGTTGCTTTATTTTGTAAGTGCCTTGCTATTGTTTACCTTCCCTAGTTCAGGGCTCTATCTATTTACTGACAATAGGCTTAATTCACAAAGCTAACACACCTGAATAAGCATCCTTATTTTTTTTAAAGTGACAGTTATTGTCCAATGAGATTTGAAAAATATAGAACTGTTTATCACTGTGCTAAAGCTTTGTGAATATAACCCAACATAAGGAATTTAGACTCCTATGTTATATCAACTGTATGATAAAACTGTAAGCCATAGGTCTAGAACTCTAAATTTCTTGGTAATGTGATTGTAATTCTAAATATGACCAGGGTCTATTTAATGGTCCAGACTGCTCTTAACAATTGAGGTGGCTGTGCCACTGACACTGCACTGGTAAATGTGTTTAATAAGAGGTGAATAAGTGACCTTTTACTGCACTTTTGTTTTTGTTTTATTTTTCTCAGATTTATAATAGACAATTAAAACAAAATTATGTGACTGTCTCTCTGGAGATACATTTTGGTAATGTGTGAAATTTGTATTCCAGAGTTTTCAGTTACCTTGACTTGGGCCAGATACGTGGCTGTCACTTTGTTGTTTTGTCCTTGAACAGTATGTATTTCAACTGTGCCATTTCTGAAATGCCAAATCGGTGGGTAATCATACCTGTTAGCATTGTGCCAAAAATGAACAGTGATTTCCAGGTAATTTCTGCTGTAATCACCACTGTGCCAAAAGTGACTAAAACCAAATGTTTTGTTTCTTAAATTATTTATACTAAAATTGTTAAAGACAAGTGATCACTAAATAATTGTGGTCCACTGATTAAACTGGAGACTTCGACGTGCATTCAAATTGAGCTAAACATAGATTTTTATTGTATTATGTAACAGTGTCATTCCAGGAAAGCCCAAACACTGCCAATACTGAGCAGAGATTGTGTGTTTTTTTAAATGTTTTATATGTATATTTTATTGAACTGAGGCACACTGCTTATTTTCAAATAAAAATGTTGTTATAAAATTAACTTGTCTGTGACGTATTCAGTGATTCAGCAGTTTGCTTTGTGATGGTTGAAGGGAATTCCATAAAGCTCATAACATGAAAAGTATGCGATTTGCGTGAGAAATAATAAAGACAGTTTACAGTGACGGCTGAGAGGAGAAGATCTGGTTACGCTAGAAGGCAGCTCACCTTGTAGGAGGGGGAAGGCTGGCCTGTCAGTTCACTCATCTTCACTCCTTCTTATCTCTACTCTAATGTAACCACAGATCTGTGTTAGACTGAACACCCACATGACTGCCCTAATCATACACATACCTGCCTAGTACAATCACAAAAACAGATGAACATACTTGTCTGCACTTTTTTGACAGCTGTAGGACAGAATAATCCATTTTATTTAGCTTCTGGACATTCCTAGGAGCTCTTTCTCAATAGACTGCAAATACTCCCAGGAGAAAATATTTACATTTCTGTTCATTTGGGATTATTAGTATTATTAGGAGTAGTAGTACTAGTACCAGTGGGATTAGTTGTAATAACTACTACTTTTATTATTGCTAGTACTAATAATAATCTGACAATTACAGTACGAGATGTCTTTCCTCCATTCTGTGGGCGGACGCACACAGTCCATATACCTCCTACTCTATGAAGTAGGGTGCAGCTTTTTGGCACCAGTCCTTTTACAGCAGAGAGATGTAGCATTACTTTGTGGGGAAATGGCAGGGCGACTCTGGGATGTCATAAGGCATTTTATATGTTCTTTGGATAGCACCTCTAGAAAGGATACTAAAGCTTTCTTTGAGTAGATGTAATACAGGCCAATTTTATTCATCTGTCCATGTGTTCAGAATGGTCACATACTTAGGTTGGACTGTATTTTCATACAAGTTTCTGCTCCCTTTAGGCTCACTTTGGATAATTGGTTATTTATCAAATAAATTAAAAAAGAAGCAAATTTTTCTGGATTGGCATAAGATTGGCCACACATGATATAGTCTGATTGTACAATCTCAATTAGGTTTTCCAACAATGATGTTGCGAGAGAGCTTACCTAAATTTTCTATTAAATTTATATTCCTTTAATTAGGCCCTGGTACTATATATATATAAACACACACACACACACACACACACACATAATCATATTGTAGCATGTGTGTGCACTACATATACATATAAGTGTTTCCTTGTGATACCATGTTTATCTGACATCAATAAAGATGGATCAATAAGGGGGACTTTGGCGTGCTGGTGACTTTACTGCCTTCATTGTTCTATGCGGCCCTATCCGCTGGTCACCACAGCAGCCACTGGAATTTCTTGAAGGTAATATCAGTCAGTAGAGCAATGGAATATTCCTAACACTACACATATCGCACAGTTCTTCAGTTATTAGGCCAATAATCATATTGTAGCATGTGTGTGCACTACATATACATATAAGTGTTTCCTTGTGATACCATGTTTATCTGACATCAATAAAGATGGATCAATAAGGGGGACTTTGGCGTGCTGGTGACTTTACTGCCTTCATTGTTCTATGCGGCCCTATCCGCTGGTCACCACAGCAGCCACTGGAATTTCTTGAAGGTAATATCAGTCAGTAGAGCAATGGAATATTCCTAACACTACACATATCGCACAGTTCTTCAGTTATTAGGCCAAAGCCTATCTGTAATAGGCTCATAATTTCTTCAGCATTCAGAACCACATCAATGAATAACTATGCTGTATACAAAGAAGACTCCAGTGGTCACTGTACTGTAACGGACTACACTGTCCGAGTAGATAGTAGTACATACCTACCCATACACATAAAAGTAAATTGCTGTTATATTGTGTTTTTTTATTTTCCCTTTTCACTATTCCACACCTTTCTCAAATGTGTCATAGATGTATAGGGGTGTTCTTTGTTGATGATAGAGAAGGCAGGGAATACTCTAATACAGTATCAGATCGTTTTTTTGAAGAACTAATCAACCATTTTAATATTGTTTGGCTTTATGTTTGTCCTAAAAATATAAAGGCAAGTGCATATTATCAGTACCAAATAAATATTGGTATATGAGAGTGCCATTAAAGAACTGACTAATATCTGAATGAGGACAGCTATACATCTTCAGTTGGTACTAGAAGGATAAAGTAAACCTGTTCTTGGAGGAATATGAGGCCTGCCATTGCTGATTGTCTTCTCTGTTTGCCTGGCTTCAGCCACTGGCTGAAAACAGTTATGCATGTAAGAAAATTCAAAGAGTCTAAGGTCCTTATCTGCAGTTCTGGGTTGTTTAAGGCAACAGGGTCAATATGACAGCCAGGCAACAGTAAACATTGGCAGCCTCCTTTTAGGTCTCATGTCCCTTTAGATCAACTAACAATTTCTTAGGTGTCCTGGTGATTCTGGTAATTATATTGGGTATACACCGGTAGAAATGTTTTGTTCAGCTTTCAGGCTGAACAAAAAAAAACTAACAGATTCCTCCATCTGTGCTAAACAGCGTGAATAGAGGAATATCCCACTGTGGCTATTGTATTCCACAGGCTGTCAAAATACTTGAATAGTATCTGCATATGACTGGATGCAGGCGCTGTTTGAACAACAATTTCTTCTGAGTTTCTTTAATTTTTCAATCAAAGGATGATGCACAGGAGGCGGCAGACAGAGCCACCAACTGATATTCACTCAGTGTATATACTTTTGAGTACTAAGGCCTGCACATTTTTTTCAGCATTTTCATGAAATCCCACGCTGTCTTTTGGTTTACAGTTATTCTATATTCTGGAGCAAGCAAGGTGGGCAGGAGAATCCTAGCAATTATGGCAGGGGGGATCTAGCCTGGACTCCCACCATAACCCTACAGAAGCAACGGTCTATTCACTGCTCATATATTGGGGGCTTTTCTGACAGTGCTGGGTCCAACCTACCTTCCTACATCCTATCCTAAACCCTTCTCCCACATATGTCTAAAATTGCAGATTGTTCTTGATGAAAGTCTGCTTGATGACAAATCTGCAGTTTTAAACCTATGCAGTATTCAGGTTGAGTACAAATGATTTAAGAAACATATCCACCACATTCTGAAAAAGTGTACAGCATATGTATGTATGTGTCACAGACCTACAGCTAATCCCCCACCCACGCCACACTATTAGAATCCTACAAACCACTGTGGCAGGGGCGTAACTAGAAATCACAAGGCCCCATAGCAAAATTTTGTATGGGGCCCTGTGATTTCTAGTTAAGCCCCTTGCAGAGCCCACCTGATATCCCAAATAGCCCGCTTAAGAGTGACCCTGCAGAGCCCACCATAGACTCCTCCTCCCTCATCAGGCCCGGCCTTCTCCACTGCCGATGCCCGGCCCTGCCTCCTCCTCCGCAGCTGCTGGCTGTCAATGACTCAGCAGTGGCTGTGAGCAGGAACATGCCGCTGCACAAATCACGGACAGGTTGTCAGTAAACTGAACAGAGGCGCGTTCCTCTCACAGCCGCCAGTGACAGCCAGCAGCCTGAGATGCCATAGCGACCCAGGCGGCCCACACTGCATAAGGAGGACCCCTTTGTTCCCCGTCCTGGCCAGGCCCCCCTGTGCTCCGGGTCCCATAGCTGACGCCTGGGTCGCTATGGTGATTGTTCCGCGAGCGGCCGTCTAATCTGCCTGTTTAGAGGCCGCTGCCTGATTGTGACCAGCCCGACTACAGAGGCTATCCGGGACTTTCTGATTCCCCCGTGAGAGCCGCACAGCCTTTCCCCCTCCCCTCCTGAGAGCAAAACAACCTTCCCCAGGCCCCCCCCCCATGAGAGATGCAGCTATGAGAGACCCCAGGGATGCAGCCCACCTCCCTGC